GGAGAGGGGTTGCCAGTCTGCTCCTGCAGCTTCTCAGTGGCACCTCTTCTACTTTCTTCCTTCCCCATCTGCAACCCACAGACTATGACTTTCAAGGGGCTTGTAACAGCAAGGGAGTTTAAAAGATTTTGTAAAATGTCTCCTATTTTTGGGTTGGGGGGGCCTGTACTGATGATCCATATATAATATATATTTATATATAAAATAAATATTTATAAATCTATAAATATATTTGTAGAATTTAATTTGTAGAAATATATTTCTAGAACTGGAATTGTTGAATTGTCAAGTGAGCACATTATGAAAATAAAATATAGACAACTTTCTCTTTAAAAAGGAGACACCAATTTCCACTTCTAATAACAACACGAAAATACCCATTTCACCATGCCCACTCGACGCTAAGCATGATCAAACTTTTCATTTCTTTTAACTTGTTAGGTATTTTAATGTACCCAACATGAGGTATATTCTAATATATGTTGAAATATACATTAGATGGAATGTCTTTTCTTATTTTTGCAAGCCATTTGTACTCTTTTTCTGTGATTCCTTTTTTTTTTTTTTTTTGATAATTATTTCTATTGGTCAGCTCATCTTTTTTCTTATTGGTTTATAAATTAAGAAAATTTGTATTTTCCTAATTATATAATTAAGAAAATTGGCCATTTCTTTCCAGTTTGAAATTCACCTTTTCACTTTGTGTGAACAAAAAGGGTGTGTGTGTGTGTGTGTGTGTGTGTGTGTGCATATGCTGTACAGTAGCTTAAGACTTTGTCAAATTTAGTCAGTTCTTTTGGCTCCTGGATTTTCTGTTTTGGTTCAAGTTAGTGGTTTCCAAATGTGGAATCTCAGCACACTGTGGTACTGCAGTCAGATGGAGGTGCTGCAGCAAAAATGTACTAATAAAGAAGACCTGGGGTTTGTGAATAATTTGCTTTTAAAACAAATATGCTTAAGTTTTTAAGCTTGGTTAAGGTGCATAATCCACAGCATTTTATATCTATGCCAGCACAGTAACTTTCTCAAAGCCACAACACTATTTTGTTAGAATGAATTCCAACCTTCTGTGCATCAATGGCAGGGGAAAAAAGCTGATTCATCTTATTAAGATTAAATAAATGTGAAGAGCACATGATTATCTTCTCAAATGTAGGCTGTGAGCTGCAGGTAACACCCAAACAGAGGTTTTGTAGAGTGAAAGGGGAATGTCAGCAATTACCCTTGCACTTGTTCCTGATCAGCTCACCTGAGAGGTGACAGGTTCTAATTGCGTTTTCCACCAGCTTCCGGAACACCAGGAGGACCTTAGCGGGCACAATGTCTCCGTCAATGTTCACGTCTGTCTCATGCCACTGCCACAGGCTCTTCATAAACTGTTCCACCTCCAGCCACTGCTGCAGACCCTCAGGGTCCCGCAACGGGCAGGGCAGCCTGGTGCCCTGCAGGGTGTAGTACCGCCAGCGCTGCTCCCTGGCCTCCTTGTACCCAGCCAGGCCTTTTATTGGGACTGTGACAAGGAACTGACTGGGGGCCAAAACCTAGGGTCAGGAAAGGATTGAAAACAAGCATGAATTCACAGATTCGGGAGGTAACGGAAGTCCTGGGAGCCGACCTGTCTCGCCAGGCAGCTCTCTTAACCACTCCACCCTCAGCAGTGTGACCTGATACACAGAGACATAGACCTGGGTGTTACAAGTGGATTACCTCTTTGTTCTGCTACTGAATCACTGTAAATACTTTGGGCAAGTAAATTAGCTCGCTGAGTTTATTATCTTATGACTATACAAGTAAAGACAGTGAGCTAGACCAGGAACTCCAGAGGAGGCCTAAAGTTTGAGAAAGAAGAATGAGTATGCATTGAGTTCCCTGCAGTCGCGACACTGCAATTCTAATGCATTTGACCATTTCAACTTCACAATCACACAGTAAGGTGAGCTTTGTTGCCATTTTCCAGATGAGGAATCCAAGATGCAGAGGGGCTTGGAGATCTCCCCAGGGACACACAGCCAGTAAGTAGAAGAGTCAGAATTCGAGTTTAGGTCTTTGGACAGCTTGTTCAGTTATTATTTCGCTACCCTGGGCTGGCACTCAGCCAACAATGAATGACATGGAATGGTGAATGTTTTGACACAAATAAAAGGTGGGAAGTAACAGCAAGGGAGTTTAAAAGATTTTGTAAAATGTCTCCTATTTTTGGGTTGGGGGGGCCTGTACTGATGACCCATGGTCAGTGTTCATGACTAATCCTTCCAAAATCAAAGGCAAAATGAAAGCTTATTTGTTGAGACAATGTGAGCTGTTGAGATAATTCTAAGTTTAAAGAAAAAAAGCAAACAATCAGAATCCACCTAATCCCTTTCTCCAGGAACCAGTGAAGCAATGACTGGGGGAAAGCAGGCAGACCAGCAGCCAAGAGATAGAACAAGTGGGTAAACAGAGCAGCCAAAGGAGCCTGAACTCTGACCATGTCCCACTTCACACATACCTTCAGCTGTGAGTCAGCTGCCTCCTCCTCACGGAAAGCTCTGACCATGGAATTTGGTTAACTCTTGCCCAGGGCCAGTCACTGACCCATTGAGGGGTGAATGTCCTAATCAGCCCCAGCTGGATCTGCCTAACTCTAAGAAAACAATAGTTTGATGTTTTAGATGATGTATCCACATGACTTCTGGTACCCACAGAAAGGTAGCTGGATTTAAAAAGAGGAAAAAAACATCCAAAGTCCCTGGAATTTCAGATCTGTACATTATTTCAATTCACTTTCATGCGAATTCAAAAGCAGAACTATCATGTTGTTAGTCATGTAAGTGGTGCTTAGTAAATATTTGTTGAGCAGCCTGGGCAATATGACGAAATCCATCTCTACAAAATAAAAAAATTAAAATAAAATTAGCCAGGCATGGTGGCATTTGCACCTGTAGTCCCAGCTGCTCGGGTGACTGAGGTGGGAAATCACTTAAGCCTGGGAGGTTGAGGCTGCCGTAAGCCATGATCTCACCACTGCACTCCAGCCTGGGTGACAGAATGAGACCCTATCTTTAAAAAACCAACAAAAAAAACTTGTTGAATTTGATTTAAGTTAAAAGCAATTTTATATGCTATGCTGTAGCTATTTTTGAAACTTAATATGTAAGACATGACATATATAAATGCAAGATATATTTTAAGCTATGAATTCTAAGTAGGACCACGGAAGGAAATTTCCTTGGGTGTAGTGCTAAGAAAAGTAATGTAATATCTCTATTTCCAGTCCCTGTGACCAAGTTAGATTGGCCTGGGTGGGAGAGTTGGGCAAGTGATGCTCTAGCATTCCAGGATTCAATGTAGTTTTATATTTTTCATCCTGGGATTAATTTCCTACAATCTGACTCTGTTTCAAAATCCACAAATCCCAGCATCTCTTGGGTGGTTCTTGCATCCACCAAACTTGAGATGTAATGGGCCAGCAATGGTCTTTTGCTCAGGTACTAATTCTTTTGCTCATTCATTTATTCATTCATTCCACATATGTTAAGTGTCTACCATGTGCCACACACCATGCTGGGTGCTAGGAGCAAAACAATCGGTAAACATGGTCCTTACAATCAAGGGCTGTGCAGTCTGTTGTGAGAAATGGGCCACGAGTACATACAAATTTAACACAAAGTGAAAGAGGTATGTGACATAATAAAAATCAAGATAAAGAATGATGGAGATTCAGAATGATTCAGAATCTCACTTCTCTCACCTCTAAAACTGAAATAACCAGAGTGTCTTTTCCACAAGGTGGTTTACAGGTTTAAGTGAGGTCGTTTCTGCGTGTTCAGCTCTGCCCTCACTACCGTGTTGCTTGAATGCTGGTGTTACCCATTGGCTTACACTGGGTGGGATTCCTCAGCAGGGAGAGGGGTTGCCAGTCTGCTCCTGCAGCTTCTCAGTGGCACCTCTTCTACTTTCTTCCTTCCCCATCTGCAACCCACAGACTATGACTTTCAATGGTCTTCTTATGGATGCCCTCAGTTCCCTCCACCACACCTCCAATCTATTAAGTAGGTGCTTAATAAATGAATGTGTATTTAGCTGAGCTTTGATTGTGACAGCAGAATGTGCTTTGGAATCAAAAGCTTCTGTGTGAGTTCTGGCTTTAGTGCCTGATATGACTTGATCAAGTCATTTGACTTCTCTAAGCCTAGTTTTTCTCATCTAGGAATGTGGGGGCTCAAAGGAAATAACATCTATCTTTTTTCCTTTTTCTAAAGAGACAGAGTCTCACTGCATTGCCTAGGTTGGTCTCAAACTCTTGGCCTCAAGCAATCCTCCCGCCTTGGCCTCCCAAAGTGCTGGGATTATAGGCATAAGCCACGCCACTGGCTGAAACGACATGTATAAAATGAGACTGTAAATAGTAAAAACTAAGAGTACCTGTGAAAACAAGAATTGTTATGAGTATTCTGAGTGAGGCAAGCATCTGTCACACACTGAGATTCACCTGCCCAAGTACCCTGGCTCTGTTGGTGGCACTTAGAGACAGTGAGACTTGCTTACCTTAATATTTTCATTGTATGTGTCAGAGTAAGGCACAGTTTGAAATCTAATGTCTTGGTTGCTGATGTTTGTGGTCAAATGATGAACGACTTTCTGCACCTCCTCCATAGCCTGGGAAATCTGCTGGCGCCTCAAGTCCACCTGGGTGTGAGAAGGACCAGCAAAGGTGGTTATTTCCTCTGTGGACCCCAAGGCACTGGCATAAGATAGTGAGGAGACAAGGGTACAGCGAGGGGTGACCGAGGGAGTTCAGCTCAAAAATTCTGCCTTCCCAAGATGCCGGGGAGATGGACTTAGGTCTGACTCCACTGAGAAGATATTGGTTGGTGCCTCAATGTTCTTTTCTGTAACAGATGCATTCATTTGATATTTATCTAGGACCTACTATGTAGCAGGTGCCAGGCCAGGTGCTGGGGACACAACAGTGATTAAGACAACAGTAAACAATGTAGATACTTGCCCTTTAGCTGAAAATATAGGAATACATGTAGATATAATACATAATATATAATTATAATATATAATATCAATATTATAATATATAGCATCATACCTGATATTATACACACACAGACACACATATAAATGTGTATATATATTTATTCCTGTATATATATATGTGTGTGTGTATGTGTATGTATATGTGTCTGTCTGTGTCTATATGTTATAATATCAGGTATAAGTCCCAGGAAGAAAAATAAAATATGATAAGGGACTAGAGAATAAAGGGGCAGCTATTTTAGTTAGGGTGGACAATGGACAAAGAATACTTGTCTAAAGAGGTGACATTTGAGTGAGGCTGAAGACAGCTTAGGAGAGCAGATTCCATGCCCCTCCTCTGACGTAGGCAATGCTCTAAGGCTAGCAGCGAGGCCACTGTGGTTGGATCCGGCAAAAGGAAAGTGACAGGAGGTGAGCTGGGAAAGGAAAGCAGGGGCCAGATCATCACACAGGGTTTTGTGAACCATGGTGAGACTCTACCATGGTATCGTCATGCCTGCTGCCCATAGTGTGAATATTAAACTGCTTAACATGTATCAGCACCCAGCAGCCTGCTTCCCACTGATGTCATCAGTAAATGATGATTCTCTTTGCCTCTGTACTCACCCTTGCCTTCTGCTTCTAGACCCTTAAGAAAAGGCATGTTTCTGCTGAAAGACAGTTACCACAGCGAGTTAGGAAGAATTGGGAAATTCTCATAGAAAACTGAACACTAATCAGATACTTAAAGTTTAGGGAAATAGATGTTTGTGGAAAACACAAAGGAACTTTTAGTGAACTCCAGGAGAGACACAGAAAAATCCAAGTAAGAGACGGAAGGGTCTGCAAGATTTTTTCTGAAATGGAGGGGGCGCTTTGTCATCTTGCTCAGGAGGCACCTGCAAGCTGCTGTCACGACAGCGAGACTCTCCTTCAGAGGCTCCTTCAGCCAGGGGCCAATTTCAGGCAATATCTGATACATCGCAATCTAACGCCCATCCATGAATCTTTATATTCTCTCCAAATTTGGTATAACGGTTGTTTCTACGTATTCTAGAGTCATTCTGAGATACCCATAAACTGATCACGACAGCCAGAAGAAAAAGCCCAAGTCAAAGAGATTCCTGTTTTCCTAAACTAAGTCATCAACTAGGCCAGTTACCTGAGATCTCACTCATACTTCCCATCAACCAGCAAGCCAACTTCATATGTTCACAGAATAAGAATGTGACTGTGCACCTACTGGTACACATGTTGTATAGCACACATAGGGTCAATTCATCAGTAAGTATTTTTTTAACACATCCTCTGTGGTGGGCACCATCACATGCTGGAACACAGCAATGCACAAGATAGACGTGGTCATGCATTCACAGTAGTGAGGAAGACAAATTGTATAGAATATAAGTGTGGGGATGCTATTATGAGAAAAATAACAAATGACAAAAATAAAGGTTTCAGAAGTCCAAAATTAAGGGTCCTCTCCAGCACAGGACTTCCCCTCTGTGTTGTGATTCAATTCCACTCGAGTAATTTGAGTGGAGCATCCATTTTATGCTGGGCTCTGTGCACACATGTTGCCACGAGGTTTACAGATAACTTGACAAAGCAAGACAAATAACCTGGAAATTAAAATCATGGCAACCTAGTGCAAGGCAGAGGTTTGCACAGATGCTATGAATACATAGAAAAAGGACACTTCATCCAGTTTGGAGGGTGGGAGGCCTTCCTGGAGGCACAGTGTGTTGGAGTTGTATCTTGAAAGCTTACTAGGCGTTAGCTAGGAAAAAGGGGGCATGAAAGTTGTTCTAGAAAGAGAAAATAGCAGGTATTGAGGCAGGCATGAGGTGCACAAAGAGAGAATTTGTGCTCCTCATGCCTGTGCAATTGTTCCTGTGATATTTTTAGAACACAATTGCCTTAGAGGAGGTGGTGAAGTGGGAGAATAAACAGTGAGAGGTCCCGAAAGTAAAGGAAGAGTTTCAAGAACAAAGTCAACAGTAAGTGGCTAAGTTAAGACTCCCAAATGTCCATGGAGTCTGACAGCTAGAATAGGATGGCTGCACTGGGGGAACGCTGGGCACTAGCATTAATGGTGGGGGAGAGGTGGGCATTACATGTGGATTAAGGGTGAATGGAAGACAACCAAGTGAAGACAGAGGTAAGCAACCCCTCCAAGAACTTTTTTTTTTTTTTTTTTAAGACAGAGTCTTGCTCTGTCACCAGGCTGGAGTGCAGTGGCGTGATCTTGGCTCACTGCAAACTCTGCCACCCGTGTTCAAGTGATTCTCCTGCCTCAGCCTCCTGAGTAGCTGGGACTACAGGCTCGCACCACCACACCTGGCTAATTTTTGTATTTTTAGTAGAGATGGGGTTTCACCAGGTTAGCTAGGATGGTCTCGATCTCCTGACCTCGTGATCTGCCCACCTTGGCCTCCTAAAGTGCTGGAATTACAGGAGTGAGCCACCGCGCCCGGCCCCAAGAACTTTTACTATGGGGAAAACCAAAACAACAGAGATGGGAAGAGTTTTGTTTTGTTTTTTCCTTACAAAATGACACACAGGCTTAAACATGTTTAAATGCTGAGAGAAAAGAGTCAGTGGTGAAAGAAGAGGTAGCAGAGAGCAAAACCATTTGGTAAGGATTTCCCACCTGAAAGGAGTCATGCACATCTGGAAACCTGAGTGAGGAATTCATCTTGGTGTGGCAGAAGGAAAGAAGGGGAAAAGGGTGCATGCAGATACAGATAAAAGGGCAGGGGGCAGTGAAAATCAGAGAGATTTCCAGTCTGCTGTCTATGTTCTTTATAGAGCGGGAGACGTTAATGAGCTAAGAGTGAAGTGGAAGGCAAGAGATTTCAGGCGATAGACTGCTGTAATAGCTGCTATAAGGAATGAGAGATTGTTTAGGTACATGCGTAAAGATAACCCGACAGTATCAAGACTTGGCTGAGGCTGGGTCCCTGAGGCTGTGGGCAATCAGTAGGCTCAGTTGTGAGATCTTCTCCACCATCTGTTAGCCCTCCAAAGGTAAGAGTTGAGGTGCTAAGATTGGAGCTTGCTGGGCAAAAGCTGTAGAAAGATATAAAAGCAACAGGGTTTCGGTAGTGGGCTATATTTTCCAGCCTGAATAAAGAACAGATAAAGCTAGTGGTAGAACAGCGAACATTAGGCAACTTTAGGGACCTGAAGTCTGAGCAGGTACAGTGGGGAAAAGTAATACAAGGGTTAACTAGATAGAACATTATAGGCAGAGTGGTTGAGAAATAGTATTCTCTAACAGTTAAGTTCTCAGAATGTGTTGAAGACCAAGACTAGCCTCCTGAATCTGCCAGCCCCGCTGATGTAATTCCACAGAACTTGAATGTTAGTAACATAGCAGTGACTATATATATTTTGTTTCCTGAGTTAATAAACTCATGAAAGATTCATCACCATCAAATCATTTTTAACTAATAGAAGCTTAACAGTGTGTGTGCATGTGTGTATGTATGTACATGTGTGTGTAGGTATGCACATAACACATGTGAAGAGTAGCCTATTGGAAAAAGTACTTCATTGTAAATCTGTTCTACAAATTGTGCCCTCATTTGATGGCGAAATGAGGACACAAGCAGGACAAGATCACACCGAGCAGGCAAGGTCACACACTCCTGGAAAACAACTATAATCTCTCACTTGTTACACAGGTTATTAGCTCACCCTTATGACCTGTTTTGATTGCCAAAGGTGAAAGTCAGAGTAAGAGAATGCTTTCTGAGACCCAGAACCACAAATTCCAGTTTTAATTTTCTTCCTGCATCACTTCTGCTGCAACTTAGACTCAGGATCTTAGAAATGGAAGAGACCCCTGAAGTTGCCTTGTCTGGTGTGACTTTACGGAGGATCAGAGTGACAAGGTGCCTTTCCTAACATCACACTGGCAGTTAGAGGTAGAACTAGACAGGCTCTCCAACACTTCTTTCCATCACACTTTGCCACACCCTTAAGTACTGATGTACCAGAAGTACTGCCTACCCTTTATCCTCTTCCTGAACCTAAAAATGCCTTCAATTTAAAGTCAAGACTCATGAAATAAGGAGTCCTAAGTCTCCATGTATTTGGGCATCAGCAACTATTCCCGCATCTAACAAGCACGAAGCGTCATGCAGCAAGGGCCAGACAGTGATGCCCCTGCTGCGGGACCTGAGTGGAAGCCTCTTCCTCTAGGTGATGGGCAGCCCCGTCCCTCCCACATCTCTGGCTACACTTCCTGCATACGTTCTTACCCACACAGCATCGCCGTGCTATTTGGTAGCCCCAGAAGTGATTTGTGCTGGGAGTTTCCAGGCTTAGTCCCAGACACCTCTTGTCACCCTCACGGTGTGACAACACAGAACCCCCAGACTGTTTCTCTCCACTTATTCTGGCCACACCCTGAACAGATACAGCAAGAAGTTCCTTTCAGGGTGTGGAAAAGCAGGCAGTGGGGCTTGGGGTAGCTGTACAGTGATCTAAAGAAGGAGGCTCTAACACAAGTAGAGACCCGTTGCAAGCCCAACCCTGGAATTCCTTTACTGCCTCTCAAACTTTAGGAAGCCAGCAAGATACCAGTTGCAGCCTCAAGGCAGCCTTGAGGCAACCTTGTCACCAAACTCAGTTCATGGCAAAACATGGAAACAAATGTTGTTTGGGCCTTGCTCTTCCAAGGCATGTCTCCATGCTGTCGCAGGTCCATGTCCCATCCTGGGCCGCTTTCCCCTCCTCCTCCTTAACCACAGCATCAGGCTCATTGTTGCCCCACAAGTCATTTGCTGCTATTAATAGCTCAAGTTTGTGAATAGTTTACTGTTTCAAATATAAATTATGGGGATTCAAGGTTAACCCCTATAATATCACTCTGACTCACTTGCATTCCGATACACTTCCTTGCGAGAGAGACAGAGTAGTGGTGCTAAGTAGCATGCCAGGAATGTCACACAGGCCTGGTCACACCCATGACCACACAGCCTATGTGTATGTTATTCCCAATGAGTGTAACTGAGAAGAAAAGGCTGAGGACTTCCTTCCAGAAAACAAGAAGTCAGACTTCTAATTCCGGAATTTCATTAAATCCAATCATCAGTTAGAAAAATTTCAACAAAACAAAAACAGGCACCATCTCGGTCTTTCAGGGGCTAATAATGTAAAGAATTGGAAAGTTAAATCCAGTGATAGATACACACGAGACCATAGGCTTTCCATCATCATATCCCTTCCTTTTTAGACTAATCCTAATGTCGAAGGCTCATTTGTGCCTATCCATCCTTCTTTAAGGTGGATGCTATGATTATTCCCATTTTATAGATGAGGAAACCAAAGTTCAGAACATTTAAATAATTTGCCTAGGTTCCCAAAGTTAGTAAGTTACAGAACATATCCTTCCAAAGCCCATATTTCTAACCACTGCCCTGTTCTGTCTCCCCAAAAGAAAAAGGTGACTGGGAATGAAACACACCTTGAATGTTTGAATGGGGTTCCCTTAGCCCAGAAGACCTTTCCTATACTTCTCCACTTATTAAAACCCTACACTTCCTCCAAGGCTTTGTCTCCACTCTTCTTTCTGTAAGACACCTTTCCCATCAGAACTAATGCACCTCTGTTCTCCTCCAGCAATCTGTTGAAATCTCTACTGCATCCCTTATGGTCTACCATGCATTATATTAAGCACTTGCCTGACTGCATGTGAAATTCCCTCCTTTTTCCTTTGGGGTTATGTACAAAATCTGCAGATGGGACAGGGCTATCCTAGAGACCAAAACCAAAATTTCTCTCTCATTTAGCAGGCCACATCTCAGGCCTTGGTCTACCCTCAAACCATAGCACAGTATTTTGCACAAAGCAGGTGCTTAGTATGTGTTTGCAGAGATACAGAGGAGTTTAGCAGAGGACATTCGGCCTTTGGACTAAAAAAGACAAGGCTGAAACTTCAGAGCCCTCTCAATTTAGCTGTGTAACTTTGGACAAGTTATTTAATCTCCACAAGCCTCTGTTTCCTCCTCTGTAAAAACGGAGGCAATATGTACATCACATAGTTGTTGATTAGATTAAATGAGATCCTGTATGCGCCTTGACCTGTCACCTTCCACACCAATCTTGCCTTATCTTTAACGAACTCTAAAGATATTTGTGATCATATATGTGCAAGATACTCTGAATGTCGAAGGCAAGAAAGGCATGCAAGACACTGTTCTCCCCTCCAGAAACTTATAAAGAATGAAATGATATGACATGTAAGTTGCCAACCAAGATGACAATAGAAAAGTGTCAGGAGTTGATATACAAACTCATGATCAAATAAATGGTGCCAGTAATACTAATTATAACGGGAGTGAATATGTGGGCAAAATCATTTTGTGCTGGGGTGTCAGGGACTCTTTCTTGAGAAAGTGGACTCTGAGTTTGAAGGATGAATATGAGCCAGAAAAGTGGCGAGGAGGAGCTAGGGCCCTTGGCCTGCCCAGGGCCCAGTTCTTGTTGGGCAGAAATGGAAGACTCAACCACCTACAGGAATGGAGTAGGGGACACACGTGAGAGAGGCAGCGGGGGCCAGGAGCAAGTGTCAGACACAGGAGTGATCAGCCTCCTGAGAACTGGCCAGCACATGCTCTGGCTAACAAACACTCAGCCCCAGCACATGGTTTCCAGGAAAGAAATTGGGACCTGTAGTTGCCAAATATTCTGATTTTTTTTCCCCTGGAAAGACAGAAATATGGATTTCTATGCAAAATCTATTTTGAAATGTTTGTGAAAAACATTAGAAATAATCTACAGGCCAAACAAAACATGAGCACAAGCTGGATTCAACATGTCAAACACTGTTTAGGATTTCTGCCATTGGAAATGCAGGGGGAGCAGAGGGTAGAAAGATAGAGCAGTTCAAGTTACTTGAACACCACACTAAAAATTTTGGAGTTTTTTCTTACAAAAAATACAGGACCCATGAAAAAAATGCCAGCCAATATCTCTTCCATTTAGAGTCCTCAAAGGGAGGAATAATGGGAAATCACTTTCTTTACTCTAGTTTTTATCATGCCAGGCTGTCCTGATTTATCTCTCTTAATGGTTTTGCCTAAGAAATATACTTTACTTATCGCTATGATAATGATCTTTGCCTTTGTACTTGTAAAGGCCTGAAAACTACAGACCAGTGCCTACTTCTTAGTCAATTTAAATATTTTGGTTTTAACATTAACATCATGCCTTGGTAGGTTCATCTGTAAATGAAAAGGCTTAAACTAGATAATATTTAAGTTTCCTTCAAGTTCTAACATTTGACATGACCATCTAGACCATCTAGAAGAAATTAAGTTCTTAACTGATGTGTACTAAAAATGTAATAATATTTAAAAACCTAGTAGTTTCAGAGTTTTTAAAAAGCTTTGTTTTGATTTCATTAGCTCTTTTTCCATGACCCCATGAAGCTCCTATTATTATTCCCATTTTACAGAGAAGAAGGTCAAGGCTCAGGCAGGTTAAGTGACTCACAACCACGCGAGTGTCAGTGGCAGAGCTGGAGTTCCTCCCCCGTTCCCCAGATTCCAACTCTCCATTCTATACGCAGCAAGTCTCTGGACACTGGACCCTCAAAGAGAAGTAAGGCTGAGATATGTTAAGTCCCCCAACATTGTTATGGGGGACAGTCTGTTTTCTGAGGAGCATTTTATGTATCTTTTAGAAACAGCCTGAGATCCTTTCTGGATGAAGGTTTGTTTGGAAGCAGTGTGAATGGTGAGGGTGTACATGGGAGAGACCCAGTCTGTCCTTACCTTATTCAGTGATGAAGGTTTGTTTGGAAGCAGTGTGAATGGGGAGGGGGTACATGGGAGACCCGGTCTGTCCTTACCTTATTCAGTGATGAAGGTTTGTTTGGAAGCAGTGTGAATGGGGAGGAGGTACATGGGGGAGACCCGGTCTGTCCTTACCTTATTCAGTAGGCAATCTTCTAAGCCTCCCACAGTAAGGGATTTCATGGCTTCTTGGTGAGTCCTGAGTAGAACAGCAACTTCCTGGTTTTTTTTTTTTTTCCTCAATGGAGTGCAACACTTGTGAGTAAACAGCACTCCCAGTAATGTGAGTCTCTGGGTACTAAATTTTTCTGGAAGTGTGTAATGGACCAGAGACTTGCCTTCTGAACCCTTCACTCATGTTTTTATTTCCAAGTTGTGAAAATCCATCTGTCATCTTTTGGGAAATTAAAAAAAAAAGAATTTAGAAAGAAGAGTTGATAAAATTGAATTTGAGTCCAACCTAATTATACCTTATTTAGCCACACTGACTGGTTCTTTGACCAGAGAGCAATTTTCCAAATTGTATTTCCCACCCAAGTACTTAAAAGTTCCACCCAAGTCAGAAATACCCTGTAGCTGGTTTCTCCTCACCTTTTATGCTCCTATCCCGACACTAGATGCACCGTGGAACTCAGTATCTTATATCTCCTCGTCCTTATCCTGTTGACAGTAAACACCCCTTGCTCTCCAATCCAGAAAATCCCACAGACTGATTTACCTTCTTTACAATAAACAAATACGAAACTGCCCAACATCCAGCCTGGCACCCATCATTATGCCCACAAACAAGTGATCAGGTCTTGTCAGTCAGAGCAGAGCACAACGGTTGGCATTTAGAAAAGCATGCACACACGTACACACAGGCACACACGTACACACAGGCACACACACGTACACAGAGTGCACACAGGCACACACCCACAGGAATGGCTGGTCAGGAATCCTTCTGCTCACCTGCTGACCTTTCAACGTAATTTCCCTCTTCCAACTCGAAAGCTGGCAGTAAAAATAAAGTCAGTGTAAACAGATCCCTTGAGAGTCGAGGGAACACTCACGTCTGGTTTTGCCAGCAAAACTTATGTTGGAAAACAGCTCAGGCAGTAAATTCCCAGCTGGGCTGGCCGGGGCTAGTTTTACTACAGAAAAAAAAAAAAAAAAAAAAAAATTTCACAATGGTCTGATCTCCTTGAAGCTGGTAAACATCACAGAGTCTGCTATCAGATAATCTAAAGAAATTGCAGTCCTTCTGGGAGCACTGCTCACTTTTGAGCAATGTTCCAAAGGCAAGTGTTTCCAAGCCCACCTGTAAGTGCTACCCACAAGGGCCACTCCACTATCTGGGGCCCCAACATTTACATATCTTCCCATACTCTGCCCCAAGCAAAAGCCACATCAGAGCTCCCTAGCTGCTCTGTGCCCCACCCATGTCATTAGTTCCAGCTTTCAGTCCAGCTTCTACAGAACTCCTGCCAATGCACAGCCTGATATAAATATTGTAAAGCTACATCCTCTCCAATGACCCTCTGATAGCACCTCTCAAAACAGCCTTGATTTTCCATTTGCTTCTATATGTAATTCTAAATCTCCTTCTTTTGATATTAAGTGCTCCCAAATTTTTCAGAATCTTATTCCCTGGGCTTTTCTTATCATAGTAGTGCCAAACTATTTGTGTTTCACAGACGGCAAGAATTCTTTCTCCACCTCATTTTCAACATCACCAAAGTCCCACTGTTTCTCTCCTGTGCTCATTTTTGTTGTTACTTCTGCTTTCACGATAATCATTAACTTGTGAGTCCCTCTCCTCCGGTAGGGTCTTTCCTAATGTTCCAGGGTTACCCCAGACACCTGTCATCAGATGCACAAACTTTCATCATTTTTGTACCTGTGACTGCCTTATCTTGATTGCTCCAGTATTGCAGCTGATCAAAATGTTATAACTGGAATATTCTCTTGCCCTAAGATCCAGAGACAATTGCCAGATGTGAGCAGGGAAAGCAGCCAACAGGGCCAACTGAGCAATTGGGAAATGAAGAAATAATCACATGCTCAGGGAAGCTACACAGTCTGATTTTACCGGGATGTCATATCCAGGGAATAGGTGTGTTGTGGGAGCACAACTCAGTTCCCTACTCCATGATATAGTTCCTTATGGACAAATGCTCTGAAATACAGGGCAGTCCCACAAATACAGACTCTCTGACAGCTCCTGTCTGACAGTTTGATGAAGGCAAGCTTTTTTTAGATGTATATATCTGGGTAATTGGATATAGGATCCGCAAAAAGGGATCGAATTACAGTAAACCTAAGGCACTTGTATGCTAGGCCACTGAGGAAATTCAAAGTTAGCTCAAGTTCTCTTCCTTCCTCAGGAAATAAATATTCTCCTTTCTCGTGACTCACACCAAATGCAAGTACGGAAATGTAAATCTGCTTTGGCTCAGTTTCCATTGTGAAGACTAAGAACTTACTACAAGTTAGGTTAACAAGGTATTCAAAACCCTATGCTGTCAATCTGAGAAGTCCGGGGAGATAATGCTAGCCCTGGTTTACCAGCAGAAGTGTTTGTTACTGATTTACTTAGTGTCTGAGATTTTAATTGCAAGAAAGAGGAAGGTTAGTTTGATCCAAATCAACCTTACATACGCAAATTTGTTAAAGTTAGCCAGGGTTACAAACTCTGACTTTTTAAAAGATTTCCTGTAATCCCAGGATGACTCAGATTAAATCTGACAATGCAGAATACCAGACAGAGATAATCATCTGTGATGTGATGAAGTCCACAGTAGTGAACAACCTGAGGCAAGGGCCAGTCTATTCTGTATCTCCAGAGAAGCCTCAGGACCTAACACACAACTGACCCTCAATAAGCGTTACTGAATGTTTATTTGTTTGCATTAAACATTATGCAAAATGACATTATTAGAATGTCAGTAAATAAAATATAATATTTTAAGGTGTGTAAAATCACCTTACAGATTATAAATTTAATTATATACATGCATCTGTGACTGCTTAAATTATCTTCTTTTATAGAAAGGCCCGATATAAAAAAATTTAATATAGTACGTGGCACATGATAAGAGCTCAATAAATATTTGTGTTTATACTCCATTTTACTCCCTGAGGAAAAAGATCTTTTTTTTTTTTTAGTGTTGTTTGGTTTTGTTGTTTGTTTTTAAATTTTTATTCCAATAGCTTTTCGCATACAAGTGGTTTCTGGTTATGCGGATGAATTGTATAGTACTAAAGTCTGAGATTTTGGTGCATTCATCACCCAAGTAGTGTACATTGTACCCAATATGGAGTTTTTTATTTCTTAGTCCCCTCCCAGGTCCCCCTTCTGAGTCTCCAAAGTCCATTATACCACTTTGTTTGCCTTTGCATACCCATAGCTTAGCTCTCAGCTATAAGTGAGAATATAAGGAATTTGGTTTTCCCATTCCTGAGTGACCTCACTTAAAATAGTGGCCCCCAGCTCCATCCAAATTGCTGCAAAAGACATAATTTTATTATTTTCATGACTGAGTAGTATTCCATGGTGTATATGTACCACATTTTCTTTATCCATTCATTGGTCGATGGACAATTAGGCTGGTTCCATATGAAAGATCTTTCTTTTAATGTATGTGAGTAATTCTCCTGGTCTTACCTGGTGGGTAGGATTGTTCACTGCGTTGGTCTTCACAGCTCCATCAAAAATCTGGTCTTTCCTTTCACATCTGACATGGTAACTGAGATAGTTGGAATTTGATCTTTGGTCTGGGTTCAGAGGTAGGGAACCCAAATACAAATGACTATATAGGCCAGGTGGGTAATAAAATTAATCAGGATAGAGTGGAATAATGGAAAGGGATGGGGGTCTGTGGTGGATGCAAGAGTACATAACTTATCTGGGATATTCTAACTTGTTTGGGTTATTTGTTTGTTTAATTTGTTTGTCTTTTTAAAGCAACACTGTACTATGCACAAGATTCCTCCCTGCACTCTGCACTCCTGCAATACTAAAATAGTAACAGTTCTCTGAAAGACTCCTCCCTCACTATCTTCTCTGAACTCTTGCACCAACAATGCTCACTGCTTGGACTCTCCCCTTACCTTCCACCCCTTCACTGGACTTATATTTTTTCTCCAAGATTTATCTTAGCTGTCACCTGCTCCAGGGCCTTCTCTGATTCTCAAGACTGAGTGGGGGACTCTATATGATGCTCCTGGGCCTCCCAGTGCTAAACTCCTACTTTAGCTCTTATCAAACTGCATTTTGCTACTTTGCTTGTATCTAGCTCCTGTGGTACCAAAAGCTCCTTGAAGGAAAAGATTTACCTTGTTGGAAACAGTATTGGACATATAGCAGCTGCTTAATAAATGAATGAATGCATGCATGAATTAATGACTAAATGACAGTGAACCATTTTCTTATTCTACAATCTAATCCCATTCTATCTCCCATCTGCAGGCATAAGATAAAGTGAGAAAAGTAAAGTTAAATAATGAGTAAGCTCCCATTAGTTCATTTGGTAACACAACAAAAGTAGAAAAGGGATAAGGAAATTTTCCCTGGAAAGATGGATTTCAACTCGGAAAGTGCAAAACAGGTAAGATGTTGTGTACCTGAAGGAAGCCACTATTCACAGCCAAAAGGTGTCAGGAATGCTGAAAAACTGCCCAATAATTAGAACATGCCATGTAGAACTTAGAAGCAAAAACTCATGTCTTTGTAAAAAGTCATGGCTCCATCTGGCCATTCCAATTAAAAGTACATTATTTCCTAGCTGCAATTATTATCACAATACATACAGAAAGGACTAGTTCTCCAACACTAGACTGAAGGAGGAAAATAAAAGTTTATTTAACACCAACAATTCTACCACTGTAGAGCCTTGTGGTCAACAAGAAAGAATGAGAAGTAACCAGTGCTGTCAACTCCAGCTCTCTATGCAGCAAAGATGACCTGTTCTAGTTACAAAATCATACATCATAAAAGATCCTGGTTTGGGCTGGGTGCGGTGGCTCATGCCTGTAATCCCAGCACTTTGGGAGGCCAAGGTGGGTGGATCACGAAGTCAGGAGTTCAAGGCCAGCCTGACCAACATGGTGAAACCCCATTTCTACTAAAAATACAAAAATTCCCTGGGCGTGGTGGCATGCGCCTGTAATCCCAGCTACTCAGGAGGCTGAGGTAGGAGAATTGCTTGAACCTAGGAGGTGGAGGTTGCAGTGAGCTGAGATTATGCCACTGCACTCCAGCCTGGGTGACAGAGCGAGACCCTGTCTAAAAAAATAAAAAATAAAAAATAAATAAATAAAAAATTCCGGTTTGGGCTGGGGGAAGGGAGACTGTATCTGTTTCCATCTCTCCGCATGTCCATCCATCTATATTTTTATACACTAGAATGTTGTTCTGGATCTTCCTCATTCAAATGGTGCAAGCTGGAGGGCAACCCAGAAACTTAGTTTTAACAGAGACCAGTTGTCAATATAATGAAGCTTCTGCTATGGCTTGGATGACACTTTATTTTCAAATCAAATAGTAAAAGGTGTTTCCATTTTCACATTTTCCTTCCTGGTTTAAAAAAAAAAAAAAAAAGAGTTGTGTTTTTATCTGAAACTTTTCCTTAAGTCTATGTGCAACTCCTTTCCCTCAGACCTGAGCCATGTGAGGCTGGCATATTTTTCAGTTGACACTACCAGAAAAACACTGACAGTGAGAAAGGCTTTTAAGAAAGAAGACAAAGCTAGGTACAGTGGTTTATGCCTGTAATCCCAGCACTTCGGGAGGCCGAGGCAGGCAGATCATCTGAGATCAGCAGTTCAACAGCAGCCTGGCCAACATGGTAAAAACCCCGTATCTACTAAAAATACAAAAATTAGCCAGGCATGGTTGGGGGCACCTGTAATCCCAGCTACTCGGGAGGCTGAGGCAGGGAGAATTGCTTGAACCCAGGAGGCGGAGGTTGCAATGAGCCGAGATCGTGCCACTGCACTCCAGCCCAGCCTGGGTGACAGAGTGAGATTTCTTCTCCAAAAAAACAAAAAACAAAAAAACAAAAAACAGGCATTTGGTTTTATTAATTTGTTATGTGATGGATCTAAGTGGTAACTTTATGGAGCTGTTCACCTCAGTTTCTGTGTTGGGAGGTGGCAGGGACTAGCTAGTTGGAGGAAGCAATTGTTGCCAGTTCATGGGCACATATGGGACTGTTTTCTCCTCCTGGCCTCTATTGCTCATGACACATGACAAATATGTCTGTGTTTTAATTTAAAAAGACCCATAGCGAAGATACAGACCCAGAGATCAATGGAACAGAAGAGAAAGTACAATAATAGACTCATACAAATACAGCCATTTGATCTTTGACAACGTGTAAACACAGTTCAGTGGAGGAAACTTATCCTTTCCAGCTGGTGGTGTTGGAACAATTGGTCATCCACAGGAAAAGAAATAAACCTTAATATAGAGTTCACACCTCAGAATTACATGAAGTTAATAAAGATTAACTCAAAATGGTCCATTGATCTAAATGAATAACATAAAACGATAAAAGGTTTCAGAGGAAAAACTCTCATACAGAGAGGAACACAAAGAAATCAATAATTGTTACTTTTGAATGGTGGATTATGGCTATGTGTGTATGTGAATTTGTTTCAATACATGTTCTACAAAGAGCATATGCTATATGTTTATAACCATGTTTATAACCAGAAAAACGTATAAATGCTACAAATGCCATTAAAAATAAAATAAAATGAACTCATTTCTTGATGCTTCTTTATTTGCTTTTCAGTTTTGTCAGCATTCATCTGCATAATTAGAAAACAGACTCAGTCTCAATGTATAAATGTCTGAGAGCAAAAAAGTACTATCAGTATGACTGTAAAGTGTGTATTTCTGTGTTTGGCTTGCTTTATTAAGATGTATCATGCTGAGGAAGAAAATATATGAATAAAAAAGAAACAAAAATATATGTAGGTCAGAGGCAGTAATAGAACACTCATAAATCATTTTGCATTACACATCTATCTTTTCAAGGTAGCTACACAATTTCAAGGGCAAGCATTTAACAGAAATATTTGAAAGTACATTGGAAAATGTTAATAGAATCTTCAGACTAGACAAACAAATTCATTGCACTCCTGCTTGGTACAAGTCCTGTGCTGGGTGCCAAAAATGCAATGATACTATTGATTCCGTAGGTTCCTGCTTTAGGTAAAATTAGAGAATTAAGGACAAAGCATAAAGATTGAGTGTCCTCAGCCTTGTAATGATGGGTCGAGTCCCAACTGGCCCAAGCCATATTTGCTTCAGGAAGGCATGGGCAGGAAGGCTGAGTGCACACTGGGGCGGTGACTGACCAGAGAGGTGGGTGGGAGGGGTGTCCTAAGCTAGAAATAACAGCTGGGCACAGACATAGAGTCTTGCTCAGGGACAGGGGTCAAAGTAGAGGATGCCAGATTAGCTTGGAGAGATTATACAAAGTTCTGAATTCAAGGCTAAGGAAGGCAATAGAGAGCCTTTGAAGCATTTTGAAAGAAGACTGATATGAGAGCAATTGTTCTTTGTTCTTTAAAGTATTTGCTTTGCAGCTAGTCGTCTATGGAATTAGCCATCTCTACTAACCTGTCAATCTTGAGGGCAGAGATTGTGTCTAGTTCATTGTTGCCATGGGACTCAGGGCTGCTACCAGTCACTTCAACATCACTGTGCCAATAGTGAAAGCAATCCCTCTGGCCGAACCCAGCCATGCAAGGTCAAGGCTCCATGAGCTTGCCACGCCCCTGTGAGAAAAATTCTCCAGGAAGCAGCAGGCCTACACAAGCATCCATGGGTTGGCAGGCAAAGCATGTTAGATTTCAGCCCCACTTGCCCCTCACTCAGACATCCTTGTGCAGTATGCAATCTGCATAACATTAGGTTGAGACCCTAAGGAACCACAGGGAGGGGACTGGTTTAGAGGTGAGCAGATTAGGCACTGAACTAGGCTAATGGCAGTGGGAAACGAGGGGAGAAAAGCAAGACAAGTGTCTAAGAGACATGTACATTCGCCTTGCATTTTAACAGGAATCACTGCCGTAAAGGATGCTGGGTACTGTCTATAATAAACACAGGCCTCTCTAACAAATTGCTCCATTCAGTTCCTCAATAATGTCTCTGCTAGAAAATTCTCTTCTCAAAGTCTTGTCCAAAGGCATTGGCTTCTCCATAGATTGGCTCCAGTTTCTCCAGTTTCTTCCACTCCCAGTTGATGATGTTTAAGCCTGAGAGCTAATAGTACGTATAAATAACTGGCCCCATGCTGTCTTAAAAACAAGCTATGAAAAGTGCTAATCTTCTCTGGTGGTGGAAAGGAAATGAAGGCAGAGGGTGTTTATTTCTCTTACAGCCTTCTGAGACATTCATGGAGACCACTTCTAGCAAGGTGGGGTTCATTTTAGCCCTTTACCACTTAACATCTATTGTCCCAGAAACACTGATTTTCCCGTGGCATATCTGGTTGCTCCATCTCTGTCTCTTTCATTTGCTCTTCCTCCTCCACTGAACATCTCTCTCCTAGAGTTCCTGGTTTGGTCCTGAGTTTAACTTCACTCACCTACACATCCCACCTCGTGGTGCCATCCACTCCCATGACTTCAAATGCCCTGGGTGGTGTGACTCCTTTGGATGACCCTAGTTCACACATCTTTTCCGAACATCAGATCTTATAGCATCTTCACCACTCAGCATTTCTATTTAAATATCTTGAAGATTTCTCAAAATCAACATGGCTAAAGCCTCATGGATTGCTTTTTATTCTTATCATTAAAAAAAAAAAAAAAAAAAACCTCTCATAGTAACAAGTAAAACCACTCAAAGTGGCCCGGCACGGTGGCTCACACCTGTAATCCCAGAACTTTGGGAGGCTGAAGTGGGCAGATCAGCTGAGGTCAGGAGTTCAAGACCAGCATGGCCAACATGGTGAAACTCTGTCTCTACTAAAAAATGCAAAAATTATCCAGGTGTGACGGCAGGTGCCTATAATCCCAGCTACTCGGGAGGCTGAGGCAAGAGAATCACTTGAACCTGGGAGGTGGAGGTTGCAGTGAGATGTCACCACTACACTCTAGCCTGGGCAACAGAGTGAGACTCTCTCTTTTTTTTTTTTTTTTAAATCCTCAAAGATATAAAAAGATAAGTTGAAAATTCAAAATTCAGCACCACCACATTCCATTTAGGTTTCAGTTTTGTTGTTTCATTTTACAAAAATAGGATAATATATATATACTCTCTCTGTTCTCACATCCTAAAAATATAGCATGGAAATTCCCACTCCTTCAGCCAGCCATGTCTACAGCTATAGATAGAATTCATTCTTCAAATAGGTATATAATAGTCTATAGTATGAATGTGCCATAACTTAACTCTGCTTCTGATCAGCATGCTCTTTGCCTCTTGGTTTCTGCCTGGAAACAACAATGCTGCCATTACTCTATTCTTTTCAATCATCCAGAATAGCTTAAATAATGTAACAAACGTCTTTTCTTTACAACTCAGCTGCTAAAGCACTTTGGCCTGTTTTTTTTGTTTTTGTTTTTTTTTAATCAAAACTCTCAATTATTTTGGAACATCCTCATGGCTAATGATATATTTAAGTTTTCTGTCTCTTCTAGGATCAATGTTGTCAGTTTACGTTTGACTCAGAAATTATCCATTTCCTATAAACTTTCGAATTTACTGCGATAGACTTTTACACAATGTTCCTTTATGATTCTTTTCATCTCTTTTATACTAAACTCTTGCTCTTTCCCCTAAGTCTGCTTTTACCTCGTTTTATGAAGATCAAGAAACCATCATTCTCCCCAAATTAAAGTCATCTTTGTGTCTTTCTCAGGCCTCACCTCCCACATTCAATCTTCCATTCAGTCCTGTCCACCTCGAAAATAGCTCTTAGGTCTACCTATCCATTCCTCTTGACCACCACTGCCATTGTGTCTCAAAAGCAATGTCAACATCATATCTTTTCTGGACTATTGTAATGCCTTC